TGTTACTAGTCCGAGTGCAACACCATCAGCTGAAGTAAATATCATTTTATTATTTAAAAAAAAACACAGAAATTTTAATGATTCTATTTTAGCAACAACAACAACAACAACAGCAGCAAACGGATCCAAATCATCGTCAATATTTACTTAATGCATTTCGTGTTGGTATGTTAGCAATGAATACACTTGCATTAGAACGAGCTCGTCAAAATCATGCACATATGGAGCGACGTAGTGAACAAAACCATCCAACACCACGTTATGGTGAAGATGTCAAATGGCTTCTGAAAATCGCACTCAAATTAGGTACAAGAAAATAGTCATTTTTATACAATAATAAACAGAATTTTTTTCAACAATTTTATTTTAAGTATAACTTTTTTTTTATAAAGTTGACTTTGACATGCAGTTTACATCAGAAGTATAGTTAGTGTTTATACCATGTTCACAGATACTTTCAATCTTAAATTATAAGTAGTCAATAGATATGTGAACATATAACAATCTTAACTAGTCAATTTTTGTTAGACAGTCTTTTAAATTCAGTTATATTTTTGGTCTTCCATAATAGTTCAGAAGAACTGACATCCTATAAATAGAAAGAAAAAAAATATGAGCTACATTTTGATAAGTAAAATTTTCTAGAAGCAAAATATCTATGAAATACTTATTTGACGACAGACATCTGGCAATGTTTCATATAAACTAGTGCCCGAAGTGCAAAACTTTTGAACCAGACGGTCCCTCATGGGAACTCTTTTGTTTTTACAATATCATATTCGAAAGAGCATCTGATGTCGCACAGTTTTCACAAAATTACCTTTTCAAACTGAAAAAAAGATTTTTTTTTCGAGCAACTCTAAATCATCTGCTATATCATGCAACATGGAATGTTCTTACGAATATGATAGTTCGAAAGAAAAATCACTCGTTATGTAAAAATGATAAAGAATTCACATTAACATCGTCAGTTATGGGTCATAAAGTAAATACTTCATTTCATAGACATTCTTTCTATTTATATTATTTAATATTCTTTTTTATTTGAATAGTTGCAGAAAAAAAATAAGTCAGTTTAAAAAGTCGTACAGCATTGAAAACGCAAAAAAAAAAACGTTTATTTCTATTGTGTTTAGGCAATGCTGAATTACAAGAATTTGTTACAACAGCAACAGCTGTTATTGTGAATCCATATTTATTACATAGTCTTGCATTTAATATCTATAATGTTTCACAAAATAATCCAAATGGTTCATCATCAAATCAAATGCTTCGTTTACCATTTGTACAATCTTTAATGCAAAAATGTTTGCATGCATATACTCGTTGTGTACATAATAAAATGGCACATATGACAACAAATAATGATATTGAGGAATTAACATCATTAATGAAACATGCACGTTCAGCATTTTTATTTATGGGTAATACAAGTGATTATCAAGGTTTAATGAATTTTGTTAAAACATCAAAAAAATGTAAAAAAGATGTTTATCCAAGACTTTGGCAAGCTATTCAAAATTAGAGCAAAATAATAATACCAAAAAAAAAATAAAAAGAAATAAGAAAATTTCATACATATTTTTTTTCATGTTTTATTGGCCATAAACTTAGGAACGTTTACGTGCGTGTGATTTTTTTTAGGCATATGCATCTTGTGTTTTTTTTCTTCTTTGTGTTTTTCGTTTCTCCCGTTTCTTTTATATGTAACATCATATATATGGGCAGATTTTTCCACCTTATACCAGATACAATGTATAGCGGCTAAAAACGTTAATTTTGCTCTTTCGCTTTTTTTGTCTCTATTGTGTGTTTGTTGTTTTGTATGATCTATGCGATTTTTTCTCTCCTTCTAGTGTTAGTTTATTTACAAAAAAAAACAAAAAAAAATGACTAATTTGCGCTTCTGTTCTAATCATGTATCGTATATATTATTATAATTATAATTTGAATTAAAGAAAATATGGTAATAAATAAGCATTGATGATGATGATGATAAGCCACTATCTTTCTAGAAAATAAGTATAGCAATAAAATAATGCTACGTTCTCGTTTATTATTAATTAATCAGCCATTATTACAACGAACTGTTGTAACACAAGCAAAAAATTCTATTAATAATAACAATAATAATAATGAAAATAAACAAGAAGAAAAGCAACAAAATGTAACAGAGGATGATCAATCATCAAAGATATTATATAAACCTCCACGACGGCCAATAACACGACAATTTACACATCAAGTAACAAATCAAGTTCCACCACTTGAATTTGTCGATTTATATGAAAGTGATTTAGCATTACAAAAATTTGTTAAAAATGAAAATTGCGGACAAATAAGACAAATGGCCGCTGAGTTAGGTACTTTTCATTGGTTTGAACAAGGACATCGAGCTAATCGACATCCACCATCATTACATCAATTTGATCGGTATGGACAACGTATTGATGAAGTTCAATTTCATCCTGCTTATCATGATCTTATGAAAATAGGCATGCGATATGGTGTAAGCAATACAAACATATACAAAAAAAATGAAATATTCATTTTTTATTTTTTTCTAAATAGGTTCATTCTGTTGCTTGGGAACCATTATCAGGAAGTACAAATGAAGTTAATCCACATGGACATCTACAACATGCGGTAAATCATTGACTATATTAAAGTTTTCTTTTTTATTTCCGATTAAAATTATTTTCTCAAGGCATCGCTTTATATACTTAGTCAAGTAGAATCTGGTGTTCTTTGTCCTTTATCAATGACATATGCTGGTTATCCTGTACTTCATCGATATCTTCATCGTACGAATTCAAGCTTAACAAATAGTTTTCCATTAAATAAAATTTTATCTCGTAAATATGATCGACGATGTTTACCAGCTAATACAAAAACTGGATTAACGATCGGTTAGATTATTCATTTCATTTATAAACCAAAGGAAAAACTATTGTACAAAATTTTTTTTTTCTAGGCATGGCAATGACAGAAAAACAAGGTGGTAGTGATGTTCGTGCAAATACGACAAAAGCTTATTGCGACAATGTAGATGAAAAACGTTATATTCTAATCGGTCACAAGTAAGTCAAAAATTGATCACAATAAATTATTGATTTTAATATTGCATTTTTATTATTTATTAGATGGTTTTGTTCAGCACCAATGAGTGATGGTTTTCTTGTTCTTGCACAAATTCAAAATGATGATATACATAATAAATCATCATCTAATAGTGTACCATCGTGTTTTTTTGTTCCACGATGGTTACCAAATAGTGAACGCAATCCATTCTATATTCAACGATTAAAAAATAAACTTGGTAATCATTCAAATGCATCAAGTGAAATTGAATTTAATAATACACAAGGTGTAAGTAGAAATATTAATTATTCAAAATTAAATACAAATGAATAAATATAATCTAGTGGCTTGTGGGTAAAGAGCATGATGGTGTTAAAACTATTATTGAAATGGTAAATGGTACACGTTTAGATACTAGTGTTGGAAGTGCAGCATTGATGCGACAAAGTTTAATACAGGTAATATAATGTGGTTTCTTTATTCAAAAAAATTTAGAAATATTTAAAAATTTGATGTAATAAAAAGATTTATTTTGTTGTAAAATCATATTGATGAAAACTTTTAATTACAAATATTTTTGATTATGTTGAATTAATATTCTCGAGCATTATGATTATCTCTAGAGAAATTTATTTTCATTTTTTTTTCTTTGATGTTAGGCTACTTGGCATGCTCGTCACCGAAAAGCGTTTGGCCAATTATTAATTGATCAACCACTTATGAAACAAGTTTTAATCGATTTATTACTTGAATCAGAAGCTGCTACAGCACTTGTTATGTACCTTGCAACATTATTTGATGAGACATATAATAAGAATCATTCAAATAATATGAATGAAGTTAAAGCATTTGCTCGTATAGCTACAGCAATAGCAAAATTTTGGATTTGTAAACGAACACCTGAAACAACATATGAGGCATTAGAATGTCTTGGTGGAGCTGGATTTGTTGAGGAATCAATTATGCCTCGTATATATCGTGATGCACCATTAAATAGTATCTGGTAGATAAAATTTATTCATCAAAACAAAACAAAACACTATCGATTGAACTTTTTGTTTTGTTGTATTTTTTAGGGAAGGTAGTGGTAATGTTATTTGTTTAGATATCTTACGTGCAATGAAAAGATCTCCTGAATCACTTCAAGCATATCTATCATTTATGCATGAAACCAAAGGTTCAAATAAATATTTAGATGCAACATTGGAACGTATTGAAAAAAGTTTATCAACAAAAAATCTTTCTAATGAAATGCTTGAACGTCATGCACGAACCTTAGCTACACAATTAGCATTGTCTCTTCAAGCTGCTTTACTCATTCGTCATTTTCCACAAGAAGTTAGTGATGCATTTTGTTCATCACGTCTTGGACCTGATCGTGGTTCTGTATTTGGTGATTTACCAATCGATGTTGACACGGATAAACTTTTAAAAAGATTACCTTTTTAATTTTAATTTATTTTTTTGTCTACAATGGAAAAAAAAGAGATTTTCGGCTTTTTCAAGCATCTAAAACTTGATTCATCGCTGCTAAGTGCATATATATTGATTATTAACTTGCTAAAATGATTTTATATGAAGAAAAAAATAACAAATTATCGTAATAAATGCAAATGAAAAAAGAATTGCAGTTTCATTATGCAAACTTTTATCTGAGCAATGCAGTGTTTCTTTTCTTGTGAACTTTGTACAGAAAAAGTATTTAATTTTGTTAGGCGTTCTTTTTCTTTTAGTATTTTTATATTGGAAATCAAGATTTGGTTTTTATTTTTCACATATTTTCAAATTTATTTATCCATGATCATTATGAAGACAAGTATGAAGGAAAAAATATAAAAAATACTCTGAGATCATCATTGCATATATTCTTTGTTTGTTTTTCTTCATCCGACATTGAAATATATAGATATATATGTCTTTCATTTTCCATTATTGTCACTAAGATGATCAGTAAACTCTTCTTCCAGATCTTCATCAATATATGGAATGATTCCTCGTCCTTCATATGCTCCAGTTCCATTGATTGTCGTTGAAGTTGTTGAAAGATTTTGTATTTGTAGAAGACGTCGAACAAGTGCAGAAAACTCAGCATAATCAACTTGACGATTTCCATCTAAATCAGCTTCTCTTATCATATCATTAAGTTCATCGTCAGTTAATTTCTCGCCTGAATATGGAACAAAAAGAAACTCATTTCTTTCTTCTGTTATTTTTTTTTTATTCATATTTGAAAAACAAATGACTATTACCTAGATTATTCATCACAGAACGAATTTCCACTTCACTAATAAAGCCATTTCCATCTTTATCAAATATACGAAATGCTTCGTTGAGAAGTTCATCATTAAACATTTCTAATCGACTATCACCTTTGCGATTCATCATTTGTTTAAATTCATCAAAATCAATAAGACCATTACCTAAATATTTATTCAAAAAGAGATTTATCATTTAGTTAATTTCTACACTTAACAAGCGAACCATCTTGATCAACTTCTCGAATCATGCATTCTAATTCAGATGGTGTCGTGTGATAACCAATAGAACGCATAACAAAGGCAAGATCTTGTATACTAATTACACCACCACCAAGCCGATCGAATAGAGCAAAGGCTTCTTTTAGTTCTATTTGGAAAAAGAACTCTATAAAAAATAAATATCATCAATTACTGAAACATACTATTCTCTTGTTCAATGGAAATAAAATTTGCTCGCATTGTCATCAGAAGTATTTACAATAATTGTAGACAATAATAATGTTGAACATGAATGAATGAATGAATGAATAAATAAATGAGAGAGAGAAGAGAGAGAGAGAGAAAAAAAAAGAAAAAGAACACTAACGAGATATTGGATTTTTCACACGATCGTCAGTAAGACGATAAAACAGAAGCAAAGAAAAAAAAGAGATATTTCTAAAGCAGCTGTTATCCAAATTCTTGATGTTATGCTTCTCTCCTGTTTGTATCCATCTCAAATACATGTACATAGTGAATTTCGTCGTTTAAGAACATATTCTATGTATCTATCAGTCTATTGCATGAGACTTAGTTGTATAAGTCTCAATCGTTGTATAGTCAAATACTATATGCTAAGAGCGGAAATTTGTTGAATGCATGCACGTTGGCGCGTCATACGACGATTATCGGAATTTCTTCGATAGCGAACACTAGTCTACTAGCATGATCCCCAAAGACAACAGCAGTAACACAACAATTCTTTTTTCTTGTATGTTTCTATGTTGAGTGCTTCGTATTCCGCATTATATTGTTGTTTCATTCCTTGCTCTTACTGAATGGTTGCAATAATAATAAGGACGATTTACTTCTTTATGATCGACATTGTCATTTGTTTCATTATATGCCATAGCTAAAGCAAGAGAAAATATGTATATATGTTGTCCAGATGTTTTTCTTTTGAATGGTTTTAATAGTCAGAAAAACAATAATTGTGTATGTGAAATATGAGAAGAAAACTAGAAAAAAAAGCAAGACAATATTTGGTGATATGATGGTTTTTGATGATGATATTGTTCTTGTTATTCATGAAACAACTTTTGTAACCAATATGAAAAAATATCCATATGATAGAAAACAAAAATATTCCGATCAAAGGATCTTTCTATTGAAACATGCACCTTTCTTTTATACCATACGAAAAAATTTGTTTACGTATGTGGTCTTTGTTTCTTTTTTTTGTACGTGTACATGACCATATTTGAAAACTTGTCTTTGCGGCCAGCTATTCTTGTTATAGACATCAACCATACTAGAATCGATATACTTCTATTAATGGCATTATTATTATCGGCACAGATCCCCCGCTTTCTCTAATGTTCTTTTCTTCTTGCATCTAGAAGAAGAGAATCAGCCGTTCCTTATTTGACTAACTTAGTATTACCACAATATTGACGCTCTACTTTTTCTTTCTGTTTTTTTCTTGTATATATCCGCTTTTGTACACATACGCAGTATGATGTGCATAGAAAGATTCTTCTTGGTTTTTTTCAATAACATCCTTTTTTCTTTCTCTCTTTTCTGGACTGTTGTATATTTGGCCATTCCCATGTTGATCTACTTTGCTTGTTCTTTAGCATGCATACATTCCGTACCATCGAGAATATGCTTATGCAGAATATTCTTAAGTTATTATTTATAGGAAATAAACAACGTTGTGTCTCCTATTTCTCTTTTTTTCTGTTCTCTTTCTCTCTCTTTGAAGAGATCGTTCTAAAGAATACAGCAACAGATATTTGCCAAAGGATACGTTCTATCTTTACAACTAAGTAACATCTATCTCATAATGGTGAGTGATAGGGATTTTCTTTTTCCTCATTTTGAAAGATAATAATTCAATAAGTTAATATAAATGTAATAGGCTGAAGAAGAACATGAATTTCAATTAAGTGAAGATCAAATTAGTGAAATTCGCGATGCATTTAATATGTATGATAAAGATAGAAAAGGTGAAATTCCAACATCACTTCTTGGCACAGTCATGAAAAATCTTGGACACAATTTGAAACCGGATCAATTAGCTGAATGTGTTGATGCAGTCGATGGTGATGGTATGTTAGTTAAAACAAAGATTTTCTTTTTTTCGGCTGATACAATTAATTGTTCTTTTTTTGTACATAGGTAGTGGTACTGTTGATTTTGTATGTCAAGAACAACAAGAACAAGAAAGAATTTTCTAATAATCTTGTTTTTTTGCTTTTATTTAGGATGAGTTTCTTGCTTTGATGGCCAAGAAAACAAAAGAAGCTGAAGATGAACGAGAATTACGTGAAGTATTTCGTGTATTTGATAAGGGCAGTCGTGGTGTTATCGATGTAAAATAATGAAAATAAAAATTGATGTTTATTTTTTATTAACAACGTTTTATTTTTGTTTAGGTAGCAGATTTAAAAATGATCTTTAAGGCACTTGACCCCGACATGCCGGATGATGAAGTTGAACAAATCATTTCGGAAGTCGATGAAGATGGTTCTGGCACTGTTGATTACGAAGGTTCGTATTTAATCTTTTATTTTTAATGAATTTATTTATTTTCAAATATTTATTCTTTTCTTAATAGAATTCTACAAATTAATGACAGGTTAAACAAATCAAATACTGTCATTAGCTTAACTTCGTTTTTATATTCTTGTCAACAATATTCTATTTTTTATTTTCGTCTTTTTCTTTTTCTTTTTCTTTTTCCTTGTTCATTGTATTACACTGGTATATGTTTTTCTACAACTCTTTATACAACATTGTGTGTAAACCTTCTCTATCTCGCTTCTTTTCTAATTTCGTTCTCTAACAATTTTTTCTTTGGTTATCAAAATAATAATAATATCAGAGCATTTTTAACGAACAATAAAAGAATGAATAGTTTGCTTTTTCTTTTGTTTCTGTACTTTGCCTTGAGACAAGACAATGCATTAAAGCAACAATTAAAACTTGTCGTTTTTTGTCGTCAAAATGTTTTTGTGCTTGAAGAGACACATGAACATTAAGTGAAATCTCATCTTTCCTTCTCTATTTCATTTTGGCTTCTATAGTCAATTCGTTAAACGATGACGGTGATCACAACAACGCGAACAAAGTCTGTTTTTTAACTAAACAAACACTTTTCTTTTCTGACTGCTGTTATTGTTTGAATATAATATGAAAAAAAATGGAGACAAAAAAAAAAAAACTCTAGTCATGTTTTTTTCTAATACTTGACGTCGAAACAAGCGGACCATTGTCATACAGCTTGCACGTTTATTAAATTTCTGGACGACGTTTGAGTGAATTGAAATGAGTTTTTGATTGAACAATATTGTAAAAAATACAAAAATGACAGTCTTACCATTTCTTGACATTAAAGCTACACCAGTACGTTCACTTGAATCACCACGATTGTCAAGAACAAAATCATTTCATTATGGATCTGAATTCAATGGACAACAGCAACAACAACCATTCTTATCAAGACATAACTCACGTAAATTATCCTCATCATCACCAATACGAAGTACAGTTCCATCGGCACATATACGTACGCCAAAAATAAATATTGTTGCTCGATCAGATGAAACTTTAAAACAATTACCACATCCAAAAACAACGAATGTACAAACATTGAATTCAATTTGGAAACCATTAGTTCGTGAACAACCTGATTATGATTATCTATGGGAGCCTGTACAACGTGAAGATATACGTCATCAATATGACTTTTATGTAGCACCCCAACGTATTATTGCTAGTCGACCTGATGAGCCACTCAAAATGACAACAATGTTTGAAACTCAAGATAGACATTATCATAATTATAAACGAGTACAAGCTATGCAACAACGACAATGGAATCAGCAACATATGCAATATACTATTTATCCATATTCACATACAGAAGAACGTGAAATGTACAAGTAAATATTTATTGCTAGAGTTATTTTATTTTCTTTTTATGATTTTTTTTTCTTATTTAATTTCTGTTCATTATATTAAGTAAACAAATTCGATCAACACTCAAAGAACAAATGGAACAAAAAGTTCAAGCAGACAAATTTGAATTAGAAATGAAAAATCGTGCAACTGAAATCGTTATTGAACAAGATCGACAATATATAGAACAAGAAAAACAAAAACAAATTGAACGAGCTAAATTTTTATTACAATTTACTGCTAAAAATAAAGAAGTTGGAAAAAAAAAATTTTTTATAAACGTAAAGTATAATGTCATTTCTGTTATTTTAGTTAATGGAAAATAAATGGGAATATGATCAATGGAATCGTATGCATCGATGGCATGTTGAGCGAGCTATACTAGCCGATACTCCAATCAATTGGAGTAAAACAATGACTTAACAGAATCCCATTAAAATTTAAAGTGTGATCTACAATAAAAAAAAAACATTTTTTTTTTGGAATGCTTTTTCTTTTCTTTAATATTTATGGAATTTTGTTTATTAGGTTTTTTTTGTTCTGCTGACTGTTGCTATAAAACAGTAGTTACAGTTGTCAAGACAAAGAAAATAATCAGAACTTTGTATGATCAATATTGACAACTCTCTAATCAGATAGTGATATAAGTCCAATTTTGCTAATTAACTTTTATCTTACAATAGAAAAATATGAGTTAATCATATAAAAACACAAATTTATATAAATAGATAAATTTAGGCGCCATTACTACTTTCGTATTTGTGTAAGAAACATGAATCATTATTGTTGAGTGTAAATATACTAGATGCTTCGCCTATCAAGCAGTAAATTAACGTGTAACAGATCAAAAAGTAAATTACAGAAAATTAAATGTTCTTTCATTGACTCTAGTTTCTTATCATAGTTGATTAAAAATGTACATACATCAGTCAAGAAATAATGAATGTAATCAATCTGATTCATCAATACCATTGTTCTATAATCAAAATTCAATAAATTTATGTCAATCAAATAATTTACCTTCTTATTTAGTGAACAGTAATCAAAGTACAATCGTCAATTTTGCTGTAGATAATTATCCTCTCTTTTCTATAATTATAATGTTTTTTAAATGTAGACAGATTCATCAAACAGATGCAATATTTTGAAAAATCTTGATCCAATTAATATACCACCATTGTTTACTAGTGCAAAAGCATCTCTCTATACTCGTTATACACCAAAAGATTGGTCGAATTTTGAATGTAACCAATTTACAAATGCTAATGAAATTTTAAATGATAGTCAAAAACTAACTAAAGAAAGTGACCTTTTAGCTTGTGAAATAGACAAACAAGTGTGTGCAAATCAATGGAAATCCACAAATGAAATTTTGATGTATGAATATTTAATTGATGATTAATAATATGTAAAATGAACTATTTTCTTCTTTTTTCTTTTGTATACAGTATCAAACAAGAAATCAGTTTTTGGAAAAATGAAATTGAAAAATTACGTCAAAAATTAAATGATACTATTAATGAATTAGACGTAAAACGACAACAAATAGAGTATTTTCTAAATCGTACAGCATCAAGACTTAAAATAGTTCAAGAAAATTTATATGAACGTGAAAAACGTCAAACTATTGATCTTATTCATGATAATGTAGATCGTGAATTAATCAAATTAATCGATATTCTTATTGATGCAAAAAACTCTATTGACAATGGCATGATTGAAAGAATTAATAAACAAATTCATTTAAATCGAGAAAGACTATGTCAATTGGAAATCGAAGCAAACAATAAATCTTATGCTCTTATATTAGAAAATGCTACACTTTATTTAACCAATACATTACCATGTTTTAGTAATTGTAAAAATAGTTTTTCAGGTTAGAACATTTATTTTATGAGAAGAAAAAGATATACAAGGTGTGGCAAAAGTTTTGCGATATTTTTCATTTTGCATGCGATTCTGTTAAGGAACCTGCAAACAACAGTTATTGTTTTTTTTTTCAAAGGATTCACCATTAAATGTTCTATTCGGATCACATGATTAACTCTCCATTTTCGAAATTTTAATAAATTGTTTATACTGAACACGTGTTTCATCATGTTACGTCCCACAAGGAAAATAAAAGAAAGCCAAAATTTGTTAAATTTTGTTCAGTCATTTTCACTATAATGTTTGGAATCAATTAGAGACCCAATGTGGTTTTCAATGCATAATGATTATTAAACATCCAGATCTCCACTATAAATACATCATCTAAAAACAGTGAGTTCGATGCACAAATCGCTATATTAAACTTGCTTGACTGTTGAAAGAAACCGTAAAAAATGAAGCTTAACAACATACTGTAATGAGAACTTGTCTTCAACTGAGGATAAGGAAAATACTTCGAGGAAAAATCAGTACTGATCTCGCAGACAGAGATAGAACTAGTCTAGTATTCGTTTCATCTTTGCTCATAGTAAGTATTGGTGGAGTGAGGAGCACTTTAGCTTTTTACTATACCTGGATCAGTTCATTTAATCTAGCATTAATTAGAGTAAAAATGATCTTAGTTCACAATCGCAAAATGGACTTTTCCGATTTTTTCTATGCCAAATAACACGATGACAAATATATTCAGTCTTAGCACGTTATATATATTTTGAAAGTAAAGATTTGATTTTGTGATCCGGGTAGAGCATTCAAAAGTGCATTTCTTGAAAAAAAAAAGATCAACGTTTTTGTTACACGCGATATATTATGTTTTTGATTATTGATAGGAGGTATCACTTATTTAAATTGGTTGAAACATACGAAGACTGTTGTTGAACAAACCTATTGTGAAATTCAAACATCAAATGAATTAATTCATTCAGTAAAAAATTTCTTTCATATTGAACAAAATATTTTCGATCAATGGCAAACTGTTGGTATAGTATTGGAACAACGTATTCATGAAATACAATGTGTTCGTAATCGTTTACAAGATCAATTCAATGAAATTAATGAAAAGATTTTAAATACAGAAAAAACGATTGAATTTTTGAAAAAAACAATTCAAGATAAAGAAGTTTTTATTAATATAATTCAATGTCGAATATCTTTTCTTTCTATGAAGCCAGTATTAGAAAATATAAATGATCGTGAATATTCAAAACTTTCTGAAGAATTTAATAATTTGAACTATTCCATTGATAATTTACAGAAAAAATTATTCGAAGAAGAATATATTTTACAACATTTATTTCGTCTTAAAGCAACTATTGAAGAAGATTTAGCTATTAAAAATAATTCATTATTTATTGATGAACAAAAAGTTATTGGTTTACGGCGTACTTTTCCATTCACTTCATAACATCAAATATAAAATGTATTCTATCATCATGAGGATCAAATAAAACACTCAGACAGTACACTGTTTTATCAACATTGATATTCGCAGTTTATATTCGATCATACTAATGAATCTGATGCTATATATTTTTTTGTTAAACTCAATTCATGAGTGAATTTTATTTTATTTATTGACATGTATAGAATTGTCTGCATGTTCGATTGATTATGTTTACAAGAAAACAGTCTCTGACCTCATATAATAAAACACCTTAATTTTATCATATTAATATTATAGAATGAACCTTTACTTAGTATTATTTTATATTAGTTAGACCATCAAATCTTCTCATTTATGTAAAATGTGCTTAGTTGCTACATCTACTTTTATATTTTGATAAAATTCGAATTCTTTTTATTTCTCATTTGAGTAAAATATCTTTGTTCCGTCCTTATGAATGCATGCAACGCTACTTTTTATCTAGAACAATCTTTGAATAATCATCATACTGTTATTTGAAGTAATGTTAAAATAAATTTAACTTCTCATCGCAATAAAAAGTTCCTCATAATAGAAGACTGTCTTAAATTAATTAATTTCTTGAAAAGTTGGAATCTAAACCAGTAGATTTACATGAAAAATTGTCGGCAACACTAAAATTTCTATCAAAATTTTCATCCTTCTGATAGATGTGATGTTTTTTCCAATATGAAATAGCTATTTTCAAATTATCATTTATCAAACATATGTAAAATAAGTAACGTAAATTATTATTCTATCAAACAGTGACAACAAATACGAAAACAAGCAAACTAGATTTGTTCAAGAATCTGATAAGAATTAGCATTAGATTTCAATGAATAAATGACTGATATCTTATGATTCCTTGTCAAGTACCCTTACAACTATTTGATGGATCTAATAAATCATTGTTTGCTATTATTTGGTACATCTTTCCATCTGCTCTTATATTTGTTCACTATTTGTACTCGACACAAACAACATGCTAAGAAAAGCAATTGATTCAGAATTACTTTTTTTTTCTTATTACATCCATAAATGTATTCAATCTTTTTTTTTCTCATTTATTAGAATATTTCATTGTTTGATGATGAATAAATTGAGAAAATAGAGTTTGCACACGAAAAATGCAAACATTGTTAGTGATTATTACATTATAATTGACACTAAAAAGAAACTATTAGAATGCGCTTGCGTCGAGGAACATTATTTCAATCCATTCCAACTATTGATCAACATTTACTTCAAGATAAGCAACATCCTTTATCAGTAAGTTATTCGATCACCATCTGTTTATAGAACACAGATGACAATGTATCCAACAATCTTTAATAATAATAATAATAATAATAATAATAAATAAAACAGAGACTTGTTAAACTTTTGGTTCTTTGTTTCTGAGGTCATAAGATATCATCAATATCCTTACAATAGAATGAAAAGATCAGTTGATCATGATTGTCAGATGCCGTCATCCGATTAAGTATGTACTAATGCTTGTATTCGAACTGATATGTACACAAATACAGAGAGAGAGAAGTATACAAGCAATAAAAAAGTACAAGAAAAGAATAAGTACTCTTGTCGGATACTTTATGTTAGAACAACATTGTACGATTCGGACATGCTCTACTGAAATTAATCAAGTGTGTGCATACACATGAGCATATGTAACAATGAGGAATAGATGAAGTAGATTAATTAGTGAATGTATTATGTGAATCATAATGGTCGGGCGAAAATATATTTTGTATAGATATTCAACTGACCCGATAAAAAAAAAGCATTTGGGTTGAATAGAATTTCTGAATCAACAACAAGATCAGTCATGAATAATATGTAATAGGTAGGTGAATAAGATTTCTCTACTTATATATGATAGATACATCGTCCTATTTTTTTATACCGATAATCCCATTACGAAAAAAAAAGAAAAAAAATAGGGGAAAGACATTACATATTCATGGATACAATGGGTATATATTCTATATGATAGCTTCAACAGACATGTTTTGATCTATTCCATTAGTATATGCAAAAACAGTAACATTCGATAAAGTTAGTCTGACGACCTGTTGTACATGGATACTTCCTTTTTGTCCTCAGTTTGGTATATATTGAAAAAGAAGTATTATAAAATTTAATTATTCGTTGTCAATGGCGTCATGGCTAGAAAAATATCAAAATATCGTTCACGTTCTAAGAATGCAAAAGTAAGACATTTTCTTCCTAATCAATATGATGTAATCTGTTCTCATTATCTTTTTGTTTGGACAAATCATATCTAATATCTATTCTTTTCTTTCTCCTTTTTTGGATACTATTCTGATATTGATTGATTTAGCTGATCTAGCTTGAACACTTCTAATTCGTAGTAGTAAAAAATCAAAAGTTTAATTTGCTTCTTTTTTCTAGTGGATTATGTCCGAATTTGTTGCCATTACAGCGGCAGCAGCGGCTCGAATACTATTTGCTATTCATGGCATTGCAGCTATTTGGCGAGTAGCATTAGTATATAAACAAAACAAATATTGGTTTCAAGCTATCACGTAGGATATAAAACGAAAAAGCTTTGTTTTTTTACTTAATTCGTTTTTTTCTTTCTTCTACGTATGAAGTCTTTTTGGTATCCCGGCTGAATTTTTCGTTACACTCTATGTTAATAATGGTCACGAATGGAAATGGTAATCATGGATTGAATATGTTGATTTTATTGATCATTGTCTTATCAATTTTAGGTTTTGTCCATCCGTATTCTTTTATTTATGTACTGTTATACCAAGTGTATGGTTTCTTGAACTTGATCTTGCCGAAAGACGATCAAAATTTAATGTAACACAAGTACTTGGTTTAATTCCGGTATCACAAGGAATTACTCATCTTGATACTGAAGATACAATACCAGTAAAAAAAAATAAAAAAATTTCTATCGTATTTCCTTTTTTTATAATAATTTATACATTGTATTATTTTCTAAAATAGCTCGTTCCATGGAAAATTCCAGCTGAAATGTGGACACAAATTGTTGAACAAACACTTCTTCTTGTTCTTATTATTGGACGTTGGTTATTACCCGTCGGAAAAACAATGACACGTGATCAACTTTCTCAATTATTACTTGTCTATATTGGTACAGCAGGTAAAATTGTTTTTCATGTTTCGTGTTTGTTTCGTTAGTTTTCATTTATTTTAAACAGCGGATATAATTGAATTATTTGAAGCATTTAAAGAACATGATGTTCAACGTAATCTAACTATAATACATCTTATTTTAACAGCTTGGTCAATAAGTTTAATGCAATTCACACTTGTTGTTACATCAACAAAAACACGTAAAAAACGTACAGTAGTTTTTGGACGAACAGATTCTAAAGAAATTGAAACATGTTTTGGTTGTCGATTATTTTGGGAAACTGAACTATGGGTAAAGTTTTTTTTTTTTTTTTTTTTTTTTTTATTGTTTTTCTTTTACAAAAGAAATTAAATTAACATAATTATATATTAGGCTCTGTCAACTACAATTCTTTTACAAGATGGTCCATTCCTTTGTCTTCGTCTTGGTTTAATAATTCATTATAAAATAATTTCACAATCAAATGTATTTTTTACGACCAAAAATTTTCTTGTTGTTCTATTACAATTCTATCGAGTTTGTGTTATTGTAATTGAACATCGAAAACGTCATTTACTGGCACGCTTATATGATATTAATGCAATAAATCAAACACCTAATCATTTACCTGTTGTACGACGAAAATCTTCTATAGCACGGAAAAAACGACCTGGTTCAATAGTAACAACACCAAGGGGTAGTTTTATTTTACAATCAAATTCAATGACGAATCTTCGTCCTATTAGTATGAATGGTGATCATGTTAGTTTCGATGGAAATTCAGATCCATTACCAAGACGAAAACATTCATCTGCGGTAATTCTAAATCCATCATCAGTTCCATCGGCAAGGTCAACAATGTCGCATTCCAAATCATTGACAATTGTAGAACGACCAAATATTAGTTCGACTAGTCATAAAATATGTACAGAAGTGTAAAACTATACATCCACACGTGTTTTTTTTTCTTTTATAACCTTGGTCTATAAAGCCTCTTTTTTTTTCTCGTTTTTCTTTTTTTGTTGTTCTACTTGCTATATATATATGTGATTGTGTATATGGATGAAGATCGGTTATGATTGGCATGAGACTTGAGTGAATGAATTGACTGAGTCAAATAAGAAATAATCTACTCTGAGTGGTAGTTACGTAGCGATTCATGTATATTGAACAAGAATAAAAAAGAATTCATCTTTCTATTGGAGAGGATGATGATGAAGGAAAGAGAGAAAGAGAAAGAATATAATCGATTAAATCAAAAGAATGTCACATATAATCATGTATACGATGCATGTACAAATGTTGTAGTCAATATCATTTTTCAAAATTTACGTCCTAGAACTATTTATTCTTCCCATCGATTAAACGATTTTTATATAGTTCACTTCAGCTTGAATATTAATTCAATTGAATACTATTCTATTTCTTTTTGATAAAGATTCAACTATAACTACGTGAATAAAAATTTCAACCTACGAGCAACAAAAGCTTTCGACAAAGTAAATATCACATAAAAATTTATCAAGGTTTGTTATTTTGCTTTTCTTTTGTACTTTTTTTTAAAGATTCACCATATTCTTACGGATTATGCATCAAGTATTTTCAATCAATGTCAACTTCAACCAATGATAATCAACTATTTAATGGGCAGTTTAATGCTCAAATATTTGTAGCTATATTTGTTCCAGCTATGTTTTTATTTATAATTATTTTAACAATGCTTGTCTTTCTGATATATCGTCAACCATCTGATTATGATAGTTATATAATTCACAATGAAAATGAACGCGATGATAATAATAAATCAGATTGTAAATTCGAAATATTATCTCGAACACCAACTAGTTATGCATAGAAATTTTTCGTATTAGTGTTTTTTTGTCTTCCGTGTTTTATAACTTTGATTTCCGTTTTTAATTGCATTTTACTTGAAGAAAAAAAAAACGAAGAAAAATGAAATATATTACATATGTCCGCCCCTACCAATACTTGAAGTGCTTCGCACATTCACACATGTATGCTCTTAATGGCATTTCTACGCACATTGAATTGTCCAACACTTTTTCTTTCGATACAACGATCAATCGACAAGTTCTCATCGAACAAAATTTTCTTTGTCAAGTAAAAGAAAAACAACAGTTACGAGTAAAAAGAAACGTCATTCGACGTAGATCATAAAAAAAAGATTGAAGTTAATTGAAAAAAATAATCATATTGCTGTTTCTTGCTTGTTGACAGGAGCCATTGGAAGGAAAGGAGAAACGTATGTCGACAGAAACAATATTTCGACAATTGGGCAGACTTAACGAATCTTATACGGGTATCGGACCCGGTAAGACACGTGAAGAATACTTGAAATTATTTTCCCGGTAAATAATATATTCAATTTCTTTTTTCTTTTTTTTTTTCTGCGTTTCATTTTCACACATAATAAGTAGCAACCTTATAAATGCATAATAATAATAATACATAGAGCAAGCTACTCAACACAGAATGAATGGCCTTATTCCAGTCCATTTGCTGGCTTCTATGATATATCAAACACAAGTACAGGTTTAATTTTACTCAATCAACGATATAAATTTGTATGGAAAGATGAAATATAAATTAATGAGATTCTATTTTTTATTCATTTTTTTATTTAACTTTTAGTCACATTTACGCGGAAAAATTTTACCGAAAGAAACAACACGTCCATCTGAAGAAGATTATAAAACATTTTACGAAGCTATTCTTGAATCTGAACAAGAACCAAAATCAAAACATTCACAGTTTGTTGATAATTAAAAAAAAATATTTACTTGAGAAAAAAGATTAAAAAAATCTTCTTATAGTAAACTTCTATTACCAAGAATACCGGTTGATCCTTATCGACATTTCGAAAGTATGTTTACAGTTAGCATTCGGTGTTGTTTGTTGTTGGTCTTCGTTTTTCTTCTTTTTCTTAAATTATTCAGGGTCAAAACAAATATTGGCATAATCGTATGTGTAAAGGTTCACATTCAGTTGACAATACAACAGATCAACCTATTATTGAAACAAATATGACGCTACGATCTCGTTAGTATCATTTTCTTTCATTTTCTTTTGAATAAAATATCAAATTTTTCTGATAATAAGGTCGACCACAAACAGCTAGACCATTTCATAAAAAACGAAATCTTTCATCATCACCTCATCGTCGTTCTCAATCTGCTTCAGGCACCTATGATAAACTGATTGATGAATGTCAAACTGATCCAACATTTGCTGAATCACTTTGGCAATATTACCATTATGTTGTAGAAAAATCACAACGACCTAAACTTGGTTTACAACAATTTCATATTAAAGAACCATCAAATAAACGTTGGAGACAAAGTGGAATCTATCGTAATCCGGCATTAACACATGGTCAAAAATTATATTTATTAGAAAAATGTCATGTAAATAAAAGAAAAAAAGCTTATCGATTTGCTTTTGTTATTTTATTAAAATTTTAGATTTATGACATGGGAGATACGAAAGCACGTCATACAAATGCTTATGTACAAGTTTTAACTAGACGTTTTAATGCAGGTATATTAATGAATTATTTATTTCATTTGTCTAAATCGATAGAATACCATAGATTTACCTGCATATAAACTTGGTAAGAAAGAAAATATGTTTCAATTTATATCAGCACGAGAATTTTCACTTGATTTGCGTTGTTTTTTGTTATACACTGGAATGTTCTTTTTGTTTCTTTGTGTTATAATTCTTTATTATAGATTTACTCTGCAAACCCGAATTTCGTAAGTAAACTAACAAATATATAAAATATATTTAAAAAAAGAAGAAAAATTCAAACTGCGCATTTTCATTTGATCCATTTTTCTTATTTAGGTTTAAATGATCCAAGAGATTATTTTACATATGCAAAATTTTTGAAAACTCCACGTCCAACAGCTCGTTCATTAAATACAGGTTATTTTACTTCTAAAAAACCTAATCATCCTCGTATACCCAGTAATCATAAAAAACAACAAATCGATATACAGTAATAAAAAAAAAAGCTTTTATTGAAACGAAATAAAAAATATTATTTATTTGATTGTCTAGTTCAAATAATTATCTTGATAAAAAAGATTTTGCTATTAGATCAAGTTCATCATCGACAAATAAAAAATTATCGAAAGACTATAGTTCGAATTCATCTCGACGTATTAGTGCAACATCATTTTCAACTAATAATGAAAATACTGTTACTGTTCGTCTTCGTCATGAACCAAAACAAATACCTAAAATTCCTGTTGTATCATCAGAATCACATGATTAATAAAAACAAGACCTAATACACTTCCTTTGCTCGAGAGTTCTATTCATGAAACAGAAATAAATTTAATTCATTTATTCAATTTATTTTAATAACATCAATCTGAATATAAGTATTTCGTTACAATAGATTTCAAAAAAGTATATTCTTTGTAAAAATTTTCAAATTGATAAAGAATCTTTGAAAATATTTAAGATTTATTTGAGTTGATATTTTTACTATTAATATTCATTAAAATGTTCCTTTGAACGAGTGTTTTACAGTGATAAAATTGATTAAATAACATGTCTGAGTCATGAAATCGCTCCAAAGTGAAATTTTTTTGACACGGTATTTATGCATATTTGAAAAACTCTTATTAAGTTGTTAATTAAATTCATCATGAACTAGTTTATTATTAGAAGCATACGAGACTTTGAATCTTTATACGTTTTACTATAATATTTTTATCATTTCATGCAAAAAGCAAATCTTTTTATATAGCGTTGAATAAAAGAATATCTATTACATTTCGCTCATTTTCACATCATTATTGAAGTAGACTACCGTAAAACCTTACTATTGGGCATATCGCAGCAATTAATTTTTTGTATAATCGTTATCTGTTCTTCCAATCAAAATCAATGTATCAAATATTTATTATAGCGTTTGATACCAATACAAAGTTAGGAAGGATTAGAGAGATGTTACAAAATGCAATTTTTTTTGTTGAATTCTTTAAAGGAATTGCATGATACTTTGAAAGCAATACAAAATACTTTTTAATAACTAATTGACAACAAGTTTAAATATAACATGGTATAAATACAGAAACTGTTTCTTTCTTTAATTTTTATTGTTGAAATACTACTAATATCAAAGTGTTAACATGCATCAACAGGTTAGACAATCTTGACTTGTAATTTGTTTGACTTGTTACATAATTTACTTTAGATGTCCAAGTAGAGAATTAAAATTCTATCGTTCAAATCGAAAACTTTGAAGAAAGAAAACAAAGACGGTTTTAGAAAGACATAATTTTATTTTAACACAACATGTCTGATTGAGTCATGAATGGCACAGCAGACTTTAAAAAACATAGATTTGATTGTGCTTTTCTTTTATTGATTTAGTGAGCTACAGATGTTTGAAAAAAAACTTGGAAACCTTCTTCCACAGATATCATCTTATTTACAAGTGCTCTTTGAATTGTTATATATTGTGATAGATAGTCCACGAAGAGTACTATACAACCGTATAATTTCATATTCTCTTTATTCACTTCTAGAAGAGATATTATACAAATATCTCGTTTTCTTAGACATAGCAGAATTATTTGTAATGGATATTTCAACTTTTTCGACTTTTCACCTGAAAAATGTTGGAGTTCATGAGTCTTTTTTTAGGATGTGGGTGTGGGTAAAGGTCATGCGAAGGGCCTAAAATTAGGGAGTGTGAGAAGTTTTTTGAGGGGGTGTAAAGGTAATATTTGCAACGAAATCTCGCACAAAAGCGGCAAAATGTACAGAAGATCTACTGTTGTCAATGAAAACAGTTGAAAATTTTCTACTATTGGAGGGTGTACACCCTCCCCCCTCCCCATACTTCACACCCTACACCCACACCCTAAAAAAAGACTGGTGAACTTCAACATTTTTCAGGTGAAAAGTCGAAAAAGTTGAAATATCCATTACAAATAATTCTGCTATGTCCAAGAAAACGAGATATTTCTATAATATCTCTTCTGGCAGTGAAGAAAGAGAATATGAAATTATACTGTTGTATAGTACTCTTTGTGGACTATCTATTACAATATAAAACAATTCGAAGAGCACTTGTAAATAAGGTGATATCTATGGAAGAATGTTTCTAAGTGTTTTTGCAAACATGTGTATCTATTCTATGTTTGTTTAAAGTATAGAACATCACAGGGCGCGTTTCCTGCAAAACATCTGAGTAACCTAATTGATCATGATCCAATAGAGTTTTGGTCTTGTAGTGACACTTGTCGCAATATTCCATTATTATCAATAGGTGTCAGAAAATTGTATACCACGCTAAAAACTAGTACTTCGGTAGAAAGATTACTTAGTCCAGATGGATTGACATTGACTCAAAGATGAATACGTTTATCAGCAAGTCAATTTGACAGCATTATTTATTTTAGCTCTGATGGAAAATTGAAGAAAGGAGTAATAAAAAACAAAAGTTATTCTTTCTCGTTGTCCATCTATTTATATTGATTACACTAAAAATTCCGTATCTTTATATTTGTATTATTATTGTTTTGCTTTCCCTTTGGATGTCAAATATTGTATTTATTTTTCATCTCATTTCTGCTGGAAAATATGTGATAAGGTTTATTAACATGATTATTATAAATGGTTTCTTGTATCATGAGAGGGTCTATGATATATGAAATAGTATCTCATATATACACAGGTTTCATATCCTTGTCAAAACAATCAATGAAAAGATCGTTTTGCAGTCAGGACAGAAGAGGGTCACTTGTCCTGCTAGATGTATCCTGCCAGAACGAATTTTTTGATGCCTTGTCCTGCTTTCAGCAAAACATCATGAATGATAAGAGAACTTTCCACATAAAAAAAATGACAAAAAAATCTGATTTTAATCAATTACTGGATTTCAATGAATTTTCATCTAATTTATCCGCGTTTTATCTTACACGAGTAAATATGAATTGACGTCGCATATGGAAGTGTATCAAAGATAAAGCTAGTACTACATTTCCCATTTACCGACGTGATAAGTCAGAAAAAATAATAAAAAATCGGAATTTCTAAGTTAAAAATGTAGAAAAACGCGTTTTATAGTCATAGCAATTAAAATTGATTAATAATCAGAAAATCTGATTAAAATCGTGCCATTTCAATCGATGTTTTATCAGAAAAAATCGATTAAAATCAGATTTTTTTGTCGTTTTTTTTACATGAATTCTTCAAATAACACTCGTCTTATTACAACTTTTTTTTGCCTAGATACACTGCATAATCTTCTAATATAAGTTTTAAAATGATTTCGGTTCCTATTGAGATATGACTAAGTTATCCAGTTTTAATATGCCGATTTTCTAGAGATTTGCTGTTTTCGGAAAACTTGTATTTTTGAATTTAGATATCCAACTTTGTAAATAAAATATGAAGCTCTCAAAAATTTATGTTGTATACACTATCAATCGAAAAGTGTCTATATCTTGAAAGCCTCATATCGCCAACAGGTTTTTCTAAAATTGTGAATTTTTTATAGAAGCTAATCTACTTGAATTCTCTATATGCACGAAGCTTTAGATACACATTCGAAAATATACATGTTCCAAAATTCTGAGCTCTTATCAAGACTTCGAGAAAATACACACATTAGAAATTCGATGGCTTAATCAAATCTCAATAGGCATTCAAATCCTTTTAGAATTTTTTTTGAATCCTATGTAATAAGTATAGACAAACGAATGATTCAAATCGGAAGGGTTTATCCGAAGAGGTTCCCTCGTCAGTAACCATGTCCTGCAGAATATAGGAAAGAATGAAGAAAATCAATATGTGACATGCACTAATTTCAAGAAAAATTATTTGTTTAATTTGTCTTTCCTTAGCAAAACCTGAATGTATGAAAAAATTTTCAAAAGTCAAACTCTGAAAAACTTATCAAGCAATAAATTTCAGTTCAATTGGATAGACATACACTAAATCTAATGATGGTATAATTTGAAAATTTTCTAACATTCTATTATCAAATAGATCGAGTTTTTTTCACAAAAATATGTTCGAAAGATTTTCCATTTCCATCAATCTCTCAATATTTAACTCTATCGTATCAATTTCTTCATATCCTTCGACAAAATTTTTCCATTCAACAAATAAACAGAAAAACATTGTATTATTAATCGCTTGATTGACTTCAGTTGTTTTATCAACTATACCTTTCGTATACCTCCTACCTAATTCTTTCAACTAAATATAGAACAGAAAAGAAAAACAAAACGCAAAAACAAATTGCGTCGATACTGTTTGTACACGAGTTGTAACTTAAACATAAACGTAATAATATTTTCCAAAAGGAAAACTAACTGTATTTGAATATACACAGAAAGACAAAAACAAAATCCTAAATCAGAGTTACATACGCACTTATTTCGTGAAGAATACATTTATTATATCAAAGAGTTTAAATATATTAATAGTTATCTAAGAAAAGCAATATGAAAAAAAGTACCAAGTTTTGTAGCATAGGAAAAGCAAAACCGAAAAACCTAGACAAAGCCTTTTATGGAATGAGCAAAAAAACAAAAAAGGTCGTGACATTTGATATGAGCATTTTGGTTTTTTTTGTTCGTGAAGTATTTTTGATCATTATTTGAGTTTGTTAATCATCTTTAACTTCAGACACAAGTATTGTTGGCATGAGACGCATTCGTTTAAAACGTTGTTGCACATCAATAAGAATAAAAACTGGACATAAAAGCAATAAACCACCAAATACATACGTTGGCTGTTCACCAATAGACCAATATGCTATAAACAAAAAAAGAATGGTACAAAGAAAAACGAAAGAAAAATATTACCAAACGATGCAATTAATGGTCCAATGGCACGAGCAAGTGCTTGTAAACTTCTAAATATACCTAAAACAGTACCTTTTTCACTTGCTAAACCATATTTTGATGCAAAACTATTGATGACATTAATAACAATACTTGAAGCTAAAAATAATTTCAAAATAAGACAAAGTTTTTTTTCTGGTTAAAGTATTTTACCAATGGAAAAAAATATTAAACCAAACCATAAGATTAGTTTTGTCTGAGCAAAACCCAATAAAATAAACGATGGAATCAAAATCAAAATTCCCTAGAGAAAAACAAAAAATAGAATTAATTTCAATGACCGAAATAAAAACAAATTAATCTTGAGTTGTTCGATGAAAATAGATAAACAATCTTGTCATAGATATATGATCGCAAATCGAAATAATATTCATCCTTAGAATAACAAAAAAAAAATCAATTTATGTATACTCAATCAACGACAGGAAACAAAAAGAAAAAAAACCGAAGTGACCTCTTACACCATTGTTGTTCTCCTCTTTTGTCTCGTGCATTTTTTTCGCGAAGTCCAAAACAACATACGAAGAAAAAAAAAGACAGAAAGAGAAAGAGGGGAGAAAGAAACGGGAGAACGATTCATCCTCTTTTTTTTTCTCGTTCTTTCACTGGTCGCTTTTTTGTTAGAAATAATAACGATATAGAATAAGAAGAAGAAAAACGAATGCCACTATTCTTTCATTTTCTATTTCATATCAAGGTAAACATGATCTACATTGACATGAAGAAATTTCATGTAAAACCTATTTTGATATTTTTAATAATTTTATTATTTTGTTTAACAACTATTAATTCATATCCATGTCCATCGGAATGTATTTGTAAACCAATTGATATACTTAATGATGATTTTACACGTATGAATTATATTATTGATTGTACAAATGTAACATTCAGTAGTCAACAATTTCTTTATCATGCTCAATCATGGTCAATAGTTGAAGAAAAAATAATTGATGATGATGATGAAGAGACTGATGATAATATAATTAATGATTATACAATTTCAATTGATTTAACAAATTCATCATCTTTAAAACAATTTAATAACGAAACAATACAGTTAACAGGTTTTTCATTTTCACTTCAAAGTCTTTCATTAGCCAGTCAAACAAAAAATTTTTTTATTGAATCAAACGCATTCAATTCAACATTATATCAAAATTTAAAAATACTCAATTTATCTTCATGTTGTCAACAACTATCAAATGACTGTTCACAAATTTTTCGTCCACTTAATAAACTTCAAGTACTTGATTTGAGCGGGTCAGATATGTATAAACGTTGCCTTGATACACCAGGTAGGTTATCTTTTTTCCTTTTCTTTTTATTTTGAACAAACACATCAATCAAAAACTAAATATTCATTTTCGAAAATTCAAAATTTAGAAGAAACCTATCATAAATCATTCAATGATAAAAGAATAAGAAAATAAATGTTCTCTTAAGTATGAATCAGGAAAATGAAAAACAACAAGAGCAAAAGAATTTTCTACATTTTTGAAATTGTTCTCTAATATCATTTGTTTATATCTATGACTAGGATTCAATAGATAATATTAATGTATTCTAGTGTGATCTAGATAATGGTATGCATTTAAATTTAACGTTAATCGAAGTTTTTACAATTACAATCAATTAATAAGTAAAATGAAAGATATATTTATATTACCAATATTGTTCTTACAAGAATGTTGAAAACACTGATAGATCTGAAGAACGAGTACTATTGACAATGAACTTTCCTTTCAAAAATTTTCTCGATTTTTTTCAGAAGAAAAGTCTCAAAATTGAACCGATACTATTTTTAATCAATCTTAAAATACGTTTATTTTTGACTATGACCATGTTTCCGCTACAGTGAACTCATTAATCAAAATTCTAACCTCACTATTAGTCTAAATGTCTCGATCATAATATAGATAAAGGTTGTCTTGTTAAAAAAAACTATCAATGTAAAGTAATCTTCATATTCATTATTACTCTTAAACGGAAAAAGACCGTCTAACATCAATTCAAAGTAAAAACTGCATTTTATTCCATGACAAAGCTTTCGTTATCGTTTATATAAATGATTTTATTTTTTTCTCAAAGATAAAAAACCATTATTTATTGTTCGGATTTCATGAAATTGAAGATGTATGAAGCTTTTATTTCATACACAAAATAAGAAACTCAGACGAAATTAAAGTTTATGATCATATTTCATTTATCACTTACTTGAAAAATATAATACTGTTTAATTAGAATCTTGTGGGTACTGTCTGTCAGGTTGGATTCGGATTGAAAAGTTTTAGATATGATAGACTCTAACCATTTGATAAATGAGTAGTGTGTGCTAGTTACTGAATACAAAAAAACCTAGAAAAATTATCCCATATTTTCGCAGCGACCATCGAATATCAGTTAGAAAATTTCATTAATAGTATCAAAGTACGGGTGGATCGAGTCCGGATTCGAAAATTGGGATCCCACGGACTCTACCTGCGGGATAGTATCGAATTCCAAAAAAATCTCGGATGTTTCACCTTGTACGATATTCAAACTTGTTTCGAAAATTTTCGGGATCAGAGCATTTTGAAGAAAAAACCTGACCGGAACAAAACATATTCCAAAATTTGAAAAATTTTGCCCTACAGTACTCTATGCATACTATTGTTCATCTAGTTAAAAAATCAAAGATTCAAGGATTTCTATGAATATCAAATATCTAAAGATCTTTTTCAATCAGAATAGATGTATACTATCGGAGTCAAATGAATTTCCCCCTTTGTTTTTATTATTATACTTCTTTTATTTATTAATTCACTATATATAGCGAGAAAGTCCGAACCACGCTGCTTCTTTTTATGTATTTACGTTGATCATCAAACGTAGTTTAGAGTATAAAAAATGTGTTAGAAAAAAAAGTAACATTTTTTTTTCTATATAGTGGCCATAATATTGTAACATATTTTATTTCACATATATCTTGGCTTAGATAGAAGATCAAATATTGAATTTTTTTTCAAAAGTTGCGCTGTGAAAAGCTCTACAAAACCTATATAATTGAATTCCAGTTTACTTGTTCTAATGGCTTTTCTGATACTCAAAATGAACAACTTCCATGACAGTGTCACTTCCCATCATATTGAAAATGTTTGGAACACTTTTTGTTTTGCATACATCTCGACTTGAGGAAATGGTAACATATTGAAGATTTTTTTAAAAAGATGTGCGATCGAAAGCTCTACAAAAGCTGTATGAACCAACTCATATAGCGAAACAAAAAACTGTTCCAAACATTTTCAATCTTATGGGAAATGACACTGTTATGTAAGTTGTTCATTTTGAGTATAAGAAAAACCATTAGAACAGGACAACTGAAATTCAATCATTCAGATTTTATAGAGATTTTCACAGTGTATCTTTTGAAAAAAGAATTTAAGGTTTGATCCTCTATCTAAGCCAAGATATATGTGAAATAAAAAATGTTACAATATTATGGACACTCGGTATTGTAGTAAAAAAATGTCACTTTTTTTTTCTAACACATTTTTTACACTTTAAACTACATTTGATACTCAACGTAAATATATAAAAAGATGCAGCGAGTTTCGGGCTTTCTCGCTATATATAGTAGATCAATAAATAAATGAAGTATAGTAATAAAAAAAAAGGGGGAAATTCAATCGGCCCCGATAGTATATTCAATTTTATTTAGATACAATATCTTCAACATTACGCGATCTTATTTTACGTAATAATATTTATGATACTAATGTATTTTCTCATTCAAGTCGATTATTTGATGGTGTACGCACAATCACTGGTAAACTTGATTTACAATATTCACGTTTTAATATGAATAGACAAGTAGAAGGAAATTGTTTATTTGATTTATTTAAATCGATAACAATATTAGATTTATCATTTGTACAATTTGATTCAGTATCAAATGATATTGACAATTATATATCACATTTACTTAAATGTAAAACTCAACCAAATAAAGTTCGTCATGGTGAACAAATAATTAGTTTATATTTACGTCAATTAAATCTTGATTATTTACCTGAATGGTTTAATAATGAACGTTTTCCAAACTTAAAAGAACTTGATTTATCATTTAATAATATTAATCTAATTGATATTCAAACATTTACAACTTTAACATCAATATCATTAGCTTATAATCCAATTGAATTCGAAAAAATAACCTTTCGTAAAAATCATATATATGAATCGATTAATTTACGCTCAACAACTCAAAATCGAATATTGAATTTACAAAATCAACTAGAATCTTTATTTAAATTAGCAACAAATATTGATTATAGTGAAAATAATGGAATTATATCTAATAATATAACAAAATTTTCAATCGATATTGATTTTTCAAATGAAATATCTTTAAACTTATCCAAGACAAATATTTATTCATTTGACATTCAAGATATTTCAAAATTGGATGATTTAAATCGTTTAGATATAAGTTTTAATTATTTAATTGAACTTAATTTACAAAAACAAACAAAATTAACTTATTTAGATTGTTCAAATCAATTTATAAAAACTTTACTATTAAATAAAGATTATTCTAATTTAATTGAATTAAAATGTTCAAATAATTCATTAAAAATACTCGAAAATTTTTCATTTTTAAATCATAAAAATTTAAAATTAATTGATTTATCATTTAATTCAATTGGATCATTAGAAAATTTATTTTCTAATTTAAACAGTCAATATTTACATACAATTAATTTAAAATCAAATTTAATTAAACAAATAACAACAAATTTATTTCATAAAAAATTAATAAGTCTTTATTATGTAGATTTATCATCAAATAAAATTAATTTAATTCAAAAATATTCATTTCAATCACCTAATTTACAAATACTTGATTTAACTAATAATCCATTAAAATATATTGAAATGAAATTTTTATTTACATCATCATTACATTTATTTTATATTATTAATAATACACAAGAATTAATTGATCGTTGTGCACATTCAACATCAAATGATAATCTTTTATTAACTTATATAACATGGTTTGAACAAAATGGTACGTATATGAAAAATACACAAGTAGAAAAAAGTCAACAAATACGATTTGATAAATGTTTACGTCGTTATATATCAAGAAGTAAAGTTAAATGGATTAAAATTAATAATATATATCATGTTAAACATTTATCGTTTTATGTAACAACGGCTGCTATCACAATTGGAATTATACTTGGAGTTATTTACTTATATAGAACAAATAAAATGGCTTTTTTTACAAATTTACAACGTTATAGACCATTAGATGGACATAGTTTAGTAGAAAATACAGATGATATTAGTCATCATGAACATGAAGATGATGAAATTATTATGAATCTTAATGAAGTACCATTTAATAAGAATATTCAATCATAAACTAAGATTTAATCTATTGCATTTCTTTTTCTGTTTTATCATAAATAAATATTAAATCGATTTAAAATTAATCGCATAATCGATATTTTTCCACTCAATTCAACACGAAACAAAAAAAAACACAACTAACTATAAAAATTCACAAGGCTCTAAAAAAGTATATATTATGTTAAATTTTCTTTTATTTTGTTTTGTTTTGATCGATCAACGAAGGTTATTCTTTATCTTATTCAAACCCCATGATAGACATCATTCTAAATTTATTTTTTAACATTTATCAATAGATTAGACGTGCTTTATCTTATTTATATTTATTCTATAACTGTTTGATGATTAATATGAACAAATATTAAGAATCTGATTTGTTAAGATTTACTTACATTATTGAGAGAAAGCTTTTTAAAAGAACATATAGAAATAGAAAACTAGTAAAAACACAAGTATTTATTTGATCTGCCAACAACAGCAAAACTATAAATCTTGATTTGTATGTAAAATTATTTTTGATTACATGTAAATAAATTTGTGATACACAAAAACCAAGGCTAATGAGAGAGAAAAACAACATCATTGAGAAAATGGGACGTTAGTTTAAAATTAATGGCAAATTTTTATCATTTCCCAACGAAAGCAAAAGTATTTCTTGCATTCTGTTACAAAGAAAATAAGTTATCTCTTTGAAACAACAAAATCATAACCATAATCAACTCTCGCAAAAACATCAAACATGCAAAAATTATATCGCTTATTTAAGAACTTTTGAATTGAAAATAAACTATAAATATATTATTACAATACAATCGAATTTCACATCTATTCATGATTCTTGTTTTATGGATGTTCTTTTAATCAGTTGGAACCCAGACAATATGTCAGCTTCAGATGGGCTAAGTTCATGCTAGCTTCATCGCTATTTATCAGACTAAATATCCATCTTAATAAAAAACCACCAACTTGCTAATTTTTTATGTCAATTTTCTATTTCCTTTCAAAAATTGATTATCAAAAATAGCGCCACTCCTAACTTCTGAATGGCATCTAACACAGCACAACTATTAATCGAACGGCTAATTATGATACTACTTACACTTATAGCTGCAGTAATCTCTTTACCATGTGGTATTCGCCTTACATAACCACCTTGTACTAATGCCATACATAAACCCATAATAAAGAACATTTTTCCTTGTTTCATACTATTTAACGATGAGTATAAGAAAAAAACGGTTTTTTTTTGTTTAACGAAAATAATAATTTTACCTATTCCAATTAAATCGATTATAAACAAGGAAAGTAATTGTGAATTCTAAACCAGCAAATATTATCATATATAAAAAACTTGCGAAACCTAATCGACGTAAAATAGTTATATCTAAGCAAACGAAAAAAATGTAAAAATGATAATTACAAATATTTAAAAATTAATCTACCATCAACAGATTTAACATTATGAATAGCAGTAAATTTAAATAAATGCCATGGTAATATTCTATTATAAATATCTGTTATTGTTGTTTGTTTATTATCCTAAAACCTCAGCAAGAAATTATAATTAAAGTTTTAATCATACGCAAAAAATTCTCACTCGTTTTGAAACTGGTAATGTTTCTGGACAATATCGACTAATAAAAACAATATTAATCAAAGATAATACAAGTGAAACAACAGCCGGAAAAACAAAAAATATCACTGTTGATTTTGGCCAATAAGCAATACCCCATTGACTACAAAATGCGCCAAGTAACGGTCCAAATATAAAACCAAGTGAAAAAGCTGCACCAATCCATGCCTATTAAAAATGAGAACAAATCTTTTTTTAAAATCATATCCGAAAAAGAAACTTCTTAAATGAAACGGATCATAATGAAAATAAATAAAATTGAACAAAAACAATTATCTAATAATACAAAGGGAACAAATATCCTTTTTCTTTTCCTTTCTTTTTCTCTGTTTTATTCAATTTTCTTCATATAGAAGACTTACCATTGCTCGATTTCGTTCATTTTCTGTAGTTGTATCGGAAACAATAGCCAATATGATAGCCACATTTGCTTTCGATAGTCCACCAATAATACGTGCTAACATAAAAATAGTTAAATTAAACGAAACACACCATATAGCATATGAAAGTGATATGCCTATCTGAATAAACATAGAAAACATCAAAAAAATGATAAAATAATATTAGAAATAATTATTTTATAATACCATCGAAAGAAGAAGCATAGGTTTTCGACCATAACGATCAGATGCAGCACCAGATAATGTTGATGAAAAAAATTGCAGAAAAGAAAAAAGTGAACCAATTATACCTATTGAAAAAAGCTTTCTTTAGAAAAAGTTCGATAAATTTCTCGTATCATTATACCTCCAAATAAAACAGAATTCCATTTAGCATCATTTGGTGCACCAGTTAAATCTTGAATGAATTGAACAAATGACATTGTTTGAACATAAAGTGAATCCTATTTATGTTTAATATACATATTAGCAACAAATATGATCTCTTTTTTTCCTTACTTGATTAACACCATTACCATGTCCATAATAAGTTAATATTTTTGGTAGTAATGGTAAAATAATTGTAAATTCCAAAAAATCAATAAGAATTGAAATAAATAATACTCCGATTATATTTGCTGTAGTTCCCATGATATTAATTCTTAAATGTCAGTTGCTTCAGTTGTGCTAGAAAACTGATTTGACAGAAATATTGTCAGTTAAGATCTCATTCTATCTAGCAGGAATCTATATACACATATATATATATATATAAGAAAATTCGAAAATGATATCAGAACAAAGAAAGAATTTAGTTTATAGAATACTAGAAAAAAAATATCTTTGCTATATATGAATAACACTAAATGCATGACTCTACTCAAATTGTTTTCTGGTTTTTTTTCTTTCATATCTTCAACCATGTCTCAGAAAGTATCATCCATTACCGTCTGCATACTTTCATCAACATATGCGCCTGTTCGACTGCGTAACGAGCAAACATGAAGATACGTCATTGGATTAAGAACGTAAAAAGAGAAAAGAAACAGACGATACAAAGAGCACCCATCAACAATGATAAGCACAATGATGCGCACAATTTTCGACTGGTGGCAAAATAGACAGCATAAACACATCTATAAACATAAAAAATAGTGCGGTCGTATCTCCAAATAGTTGTTTTGGTGTCTGTTAATTGTCTGATTGTACTTGTGTGTCTATATGTAAGTTTATCTCGAAAAAAGAAGCAATATCTTTATTTATTCATTGATCTTCATTCTGATGTAAAAATTTGAAAAAAAAAACAATATATCATAGAAAAATATAAATGAAACATCAAAATCACCGAAAATAAGAAGTGAAAATGAGAAAAAAAGAAAAAACCCAAATCACCGTCGACCTTTTTTTTTTTTAATTACTGTCATTCATTTCCAGGACTATTTGTTGTATCATTTGTAATAGTTACTTGCATTTGTTCCATGAGTGTTTGAATAGCATTTTGTCGAGCATCTATATAACGTTGTCGTCGAAGTTCTTTATAACGTTCAATACGTTCAGTTTCGAGTGTTGGATCATTTAATACATTATCCCATCGAAGTGAAGAGAGATTAGCTGGTGTTAATTTATTTATATCACATCGATTTGCTAAATAAATAATTAATAAGTAGGGTTTTTTTATTAGAAAAAAAAACAAACTACAAACAATTAAGAGTATTTTTAATGCCATTAGATGATTGACCATTAGGGTCATTTCCGTCTAAAATTCTTGTTTTTAATTTTCGGCTTTGTCGTCGTTTTTTATGTGAACGTTTTTTTTTAGTTGAAGTTTGTGTATTGAGTAATTCTGTACTACTTCCATCGAGAGGCATTTTTATTTACAAACAAATAATCATTGATCTAGAAGAAACTAGAAACAAATATAATAATGCGAAAATGAAAATTGTTTTTCTTTTTTTTAATTAAACTTAGAATAACAATAGCATATTCTATTTTCTTTTTGTAAACTAAAATTGACAAAAGTTAAATATATAGCTTATAAATATTGTTAAGTTTAATTCAAATTTACTACTTTGAAAATCGAACAATATAAATTTTTGGTGTAACTTTTTTTTTTATATGAAATATTTTCAAACGTATTGCACTGCATTATATAATGAGAAATGAACTTAAAAATAGGGAAAAAACAAATATTCAATCATAGAAATTATTTAAAAATATGCCAACAGACTTTGTGTAATGGGCTCGAGATATTCTTCAAAATGAATATTATATTCTTCCAAATGACAATGAAATGAATTTGTTCATCGTTCAGTTATTGTTAAAAGTCTAAACTTTTTGAACAAAAAAGAAAAAAAATTCATTAAAGAAAAAAAAACAAAAATATGATCAAATAATCAGAATAAATTTTCTATTGATTTAAACAAATAGATCGAGAGACTACATATATTCTCTTGTTGTTCACATTTCCATAAAATAAATAAACATTTATAGACGTGTGTCATTCTCACTTTTTTTCTTAAAAATTTTCTGAATAATGATGTTATATGAAAGAACAGGAAACAAAAAAAAAACAGAAAACACCATACCATAGGAGGATTATAGAATAGTCATGTGTACAAAAAAAAAAACGGAGAGTGACACACCGGGGCATAGCAGAAAAAAAATCATGTTGAAGAAGAAGACAAAGAAGAATAAGAAGACAAACATATCCGACCGATCAAGAGAGAGAGAGACAAAGAGAAAGAGAGCGAGACAAAAAAAGTATTGCGTCATCTTGGAGAAGAAACAATAATAAAAAAAAAACAGCAAAAAATTTTGTTTTTTTTTTTCTTTTGTTTAACATCTCACATCATTCAGCTTTGCGTACTACACTGAAGAGAACATATATGATGAGACAATAATAATAAGTAAATAAATAAGACAATTTCGTATAAAACATTTACAATCATTTGGTACAAAAACAGGTGTTAATATATTTGTTATACGATGTAATTCATGACAACAGCAAATAAATATAAATGTTGTTATTATTAAATTTAATGTTGGCATACGTGGAATAATCGTTAATGTACCATGACCATTAGCAACAAGCCATATATGATATTGTGTAACAAATAATTCTAATGATATATTACCAAACCATGAAAAAAATGGTGAATAATGTTGACGAAGAAATGTTGGAATATTTCGTAGGAGAATATAACTCACAATCTTAAATACAAAAAAATTCATATTTATATATATATATATAAACACCGAGTGTAGCAAACGTTTTGCGACATTCTTGATTTTACATGTAACTCTGTTCAGAAACATGATAAAAACGTTGATCGCTTTTTATCAAAAAAATGGATCATTGAATTTTCTACTTGAATCATGAGAAGAAATTTATACAGCTGTTTTAGAAACTTTCAATAGACTGCCAACGCTGAACATCTGTTATTTCCTAAAAGAAATATTAAAAAGTGGAAAATCGTTGTATTTTATTCATTCATTTTGACTATAAGATTTGAAATCAAAAAGAGACTTCGTGTGACTTTTAAAGCATAAGGATTATTACTCATCTAGTGAGTTTGATATACAAATTGTTGGATAAAATTTTCTCGATTGTTGCAAGAAATAGTAGAAAAGAATTATGTTAAAAAAATAATACAATGGAAATTTAGCTTCAAAGGAAGATGATGAAAATACGTTGGAGAGAAATTAGTACTGATTTCGTAGGCAGAGATAGAACCGGCCTAGTACCCATTCCAACTTAGCTCGTAAAACTATTGTGGAAATGATGAAAGGTTTGGTTTTATAGTGCCTGAAAGAATATACTTAATCTAACAACGATTTGATTAATAATGGCCTTAGTTATCAATCAAAAAAATCGATTTATCCGATTTTCCCTTGAGAAAAATAATGCGATGACATACTTGTTCAGTGTAAGTGGCCTAATAAAATTTCGCAAATAGCGAAAAAGATTTGTTCTTTTGATCCGAGTCTAACATTCAATGGTACCTCTTTTGTAAAAAGAAAAAAAGATAATCAACGTTGTATTATACCGTCGAACATAGTTACATGCAAAAAAAAAAAGAATGTTGCCAAGATTTTGCCACATTCGATATAAAAAAAGAAGTATGTGGATATAAAAAAATTAAACTTACGGGTAATATAACAATATATGGATGTATTTCATCACATATTGCTTTATTTGAACATAAAAATAAAACAATAAAATAAATAATTAAACCCAATAAACTTAATAAACAAAATATTGTTTTTAATTTTGATGTTAATTGTTGATATTGTTTACGTTTGATACCTAATGTTTTATATGCATCATAATTTTCAATAAATAATATTAAAAAAGCAAAACACATTCCATATAAAACTGTATACCGATCTAAATTCCAACGATGATACCAATCATTTATTGTACCATTACGATCATAATATAAATGTGTGGATGAATTCATATTATAACGAAAAAGATTTGAAAATAAATATTGTCTATCATTTAATGATAAACCATTCATTGATACAGGACCAACAATACCTTGACCACTACCTGATATGTAATCAAGTAATGTATTATATTCATTATAATATAATGAATTTTTATCATGAATTAATAATGTATGTAATTGATGAAGACCATTGTGTGATAAATCAGATTGATCTAATTGTTGAACATAAGCAGCAAGTGATGATGTTATTGTAGAAGTTGTAAATAAATTATTCCATAAATGAAATGTAAAAATTTTTTCAAATAAATATGCAGACATGCTTAAGATTGTTACAAGAATACCTAAATGAAATATTGATTTAATATTCTATTTTTTTTTGTTGTTATTTTCTATTATTTTCAAGCTTTTCTTTTTCAGTTTGTATATTATTCATCATAATTAATATCAGATATCGTTGTCAGGCAATCAATCAATTCCACATCTGTTTATGAAGTCTATCTTAATAATTATTAAAAGTGACTATCAGAACTTTTTTTCGAGATTAATTAGAATTCTTCTATTTATAGTATATTATACGTTTGATTTGTATCAAAAGAAATACGTAGTTCTCAAGTTTTAGTTTTCGCTTCCATCTTCAGTCAGGTACGTATGCTAAGCATAATTCTTTCCGTTACATAATAATGCATGCATAGAATTTTAAAAAAAAATTCCGAAAAAAAAAAATAACCCCTGAAAATTATTAGTTGAGAATGATGAATAGATTAAATATTTTACAAAAATAAATAAGATTTTGTTTTTATATTTTTAAGTGATGATTCACTTTTTTTCTCCATGTTTTTTCTTTTTTACATAATCAAAAGAATTCAACGTACTGAATCTTTTTTTTTTCTTATTGATACAAAATATCATTATTAGTTGAAATAATATTTTTATTTCTTTAAGACTTTGTTTGAATTAACATCAGATGCACTACTGAAAAATAAAATAATTTGTCTTATTTAGTATTAATGCTCTACTAATTCTGAAAATGATAATGAATAATTTCTACTAAGTATAAAAATAATAGTTCAAGTTTTCTACTTTTCTAAACTTGAATAATTTGATTTTTTACTATTTCGTCAAGGTCAAGTTTTATAGACGTCATCTAAATATATTACTCATATCTTTATAAATACTTCCTAGATGGAAACATTCTTAATATTAATAACAGTCAATTTCATTCTTTCATTAATAATTATGAACGTATACAAAACGGAAATTCTTGTTTTTTCTGCACAATTACATAAATTATCAAGATAATTGACATACCCATGAGAAGAAATTTAAATAATAAATATATAAAATGTATTGGCTTTTCTTTAACAGATTCAGCACATATTTTAGGTGGTATAAAGGCTAATATAAAATACATTAATGTAAAATAAAATGATATTAATGGTGGATAATAATATGATTGATAATGTCTATTCATTAATAAACATAATGTTATTGTTAAAAAATTATATTTAAATAACATTTGTATAAATGGTAAAAATTGATAATTACCAGTTGTCCAATAATAATGAAAATGACTATAGGCTGATAAAAATAAATAAGCACTTATTAATAATTGTATACACATTGATAAAACAAGACTTTTGCCCGATGCATCTGTCATTTGATATGCTAATAAAATAACCATCATCCAACCACGCATTTCATTTATTTGTTCTTTATTTAAAAAACTATTATTATTGTTATTTCCATTTGTTGTTATTAATTTATTATTTGTTATTGTATTATTTTCATCATTTGAATCTGAATGTGATAGAATTTGTTCATAATCATTATTATGTATTGAAGAAAATATTGGATTTGTATTTGAATTTGGACTTGTTGTAATTGGTGTTTGATTTGGTGATGAACGATTTGATGTTGTCTTATGAAAATATTTATCATGAAAAAATATTCCTAATATTCCAATATATGTTAATGGTAAAAAAAAAGCAATGCGAGAAAAATGAGAATTTTCTTTCATTAAAAAATCTGTACGATCAGCCAAATAGAAATAAAGAAGAATAAATGCATATTTAACACTAAAATTAAAAACAATTTAATTAAAAAAAAAAAAAAAAAAAATTTTCTTTTTTTTTTATCTTTACCTTGTACGAAGTATTATGGGTTCAGTTAAAGGAAAATGTAATAAAGAATTTTGTTTTTTATAAAATCTTGATGGATATGATGAAGTATTATTATTGTTTCCATTTGATAATGATGATAATGAAGATTGTGTTGCTATAGATTTTGTTAATAATAATGGTGGTAATAAATGTTCTCGAGATTTTTTACAAAGATTTCGTAAAAATTTCGGAATTAAAAACCTATAACGACTCAAACCAGTCGATAATGATGATGATGATAAATGATTTTGATTTGAA